ATTATATTCCATCATGGCTTTACCCCGTCCCTGGCCCCCTACTGCCAGACCCCAACCTTCTCTCTTCTCTCTTTTTCTCTCACTCTCTCTCTCTCTCTCTCTCTCTCTCTCTCTCTCTCTCTGATGGCGCTACGGAAAATGAAGAAGTTTTTGAAGAAGATTCGTAACCATTTTTAAGAGGAGTGTGAAAAACGGTACCATGTGGTACCCAATATATCCCAACACTTGAATCTTCTGAACATTTCCCGCGCTCGGCCTCCCAAATCTCCAATATAACTCCTCAGGTGTAATTCTCACTTCGTCCGAATTCTCCGGATGGAATCAAATAACCGGTGAATTTACCGCTAAACCGGCGAATCCATTGCGATTGAACGATCGAAACTACTTACTTCGGATTGAAAAGCTGGTTTTGGTTAGATAGGAAGAGAAGCTTGAGCATTTCTTTCTCAAAATAGGCGAACAGGAGCCGGGGAGTCCGGAGTCAGCTGCAACGATTCGCACGCGGCTTTAGTTGCGCGCGATGGCACCAGATGGCACTTTGCTTGTGTATGCAATATTGAGAAGCAGGGGGGGAAAATTGAATGATTTGCATTTCGTCTCGGTGTTACAAGACGGCGCGGTGGGCTGACGGTTTATATTAACAGTGGAGGGTGGCAGTGTGTGTGTTGCAGAGTTGTTATGCCACCCCCCAACCAACCCCCTCCAACCCCCCCCCCTCCCCACCCCTACCACACCACCACCGACCACCTCCTCCCTACCGGAACCCCATCTCCCTCCTCCTCCTCCCTACCCAACCCCCCCAACCTGTAACAAACTAGGCTGTTGTAAGAATTATCCAGAGTGGTTTATCGACAAAAGAGAATGGGAAGCTGAGCCGCATGGTGACCTGACCCCCAGGGGAATTCGCGGTGGAAATAACCAACGCTTTGTTCATAGCTGCGTAAAATGAATCATCCTATAGTATTCAGTAATTTAGAGAAAATTAGCCTTTATTCATTTTGCATTAAAATTGTATTGTATAATAGTACTGGATACAACATCAAGAGTATTCTAATTATTGAGTTAAGTCACCATCAGTGACGTCACGAATCAGATCTAACTTTTAAGGCGGAGTGACCGGCGGTCATAGGTCAGCAGGGTGACATGTCTAGTATTTCTCAAAGTTCAATTAACCATTTTGGGGATCGGGAACAGCTCTGCCGTTAGATGTTTGTAATTTAATTCAGTAAAATAATTCAACCAGTCTGGATCAATTAAGTACAACAGAGTTTAATTGTTATAACTTAACCTTGCTAAAGTAACTGGGTAAGCGATGCGGAACAATACAATACTCTGTCTGGGGTAGTCCAGACAAGAAAAAAAATCAGTGTGGAAACGGGAGCAGCTGGGATAAGAGGTCAAACATCTTACCTCTCCCCAAGACCAGCCAAAACATCTAGCTGGTCGCCCAAGGTATAGTTGCTATTGTTATGTATAGAAATAGTCTTCTCATTTGCCACTCAGGTCAAGTAGGGAGTGTTAAAGTGATAGGGAGTGAACATATTTAGATTTTGTTTTAGTTTTCTTTTAATAAATTAAATTTGTTATTAATTTGCATTTTATTGTTTCCATGTGTTTTATGTGTATACTTGTCCTGGTCACGTGGTCCACACGAGGCAGAGTTGTATTGGGCGCCGATTCTAACATCGAATCGGAATTATCATTACCGTGTAATTTATTCCACACTCAAGGTCATCGTTTATAGTGGGGATCAAGCCCCTAGGTTGATTAATTAGCGTGATCGATCCAGACCTCGATCATTGCTCTTGTATTACTGGTCTGGTGGTGGCAGCAGAGGTGACTCTAGGGTTTTGTTCAGAGCTTAGGTCACGTCATACTGGGTGTAGAATCCTAAGTCGGTCAATCGTCTTAGGACCACGTGGCGTGGAGTTGGCTTTGTTAAAAGTTTTGGGGTCCCTTGGTAGAGAATAATAAGTAAGAATACGGGTAGAGGGAGTAGAAAGAAGGAAGTAAAGGGAGAGGAACCCCGAACCCGTGTTACAAACCTCCCCAACCCCCCCAACCCCCCCAACCTTCAAAACCTGTGCCGACACTGGCGCTAGCAAGCGCCAGTGTCCAGGAGGCAGATTCACGAAGCAGTTACGCGAGTACTGACGAACGTGTACATCTCAATCATTGACGGCTTTGGTTACATTTATTAAACAGTTTACAAGCGTGAAAACTTGCCAATCAACTGTTGTTATTGTTATAAACAGCCTCCTGGTGCTTCGGAGCTCATTAACTGTTTAATAATGATGAACAAAGTCGCCAAAGATTGAGAAAAGATTTACTGGTTCGTAAGTGCTTGCATAACTGCTTCGCGAATCTGGAACCTGGTCTTCTGAACACTACCGACAGTGACCTACTGGAGTGGACAGCCTTCGGGATTTGCAGTCCATGGACCTGGGTCCGATTCCCGTCTGAGGCAGAAAGAAATACCTTCTTTCCTTTGATATAACTGTTCACCAAGTGATAAATAGGTATTTGGGAATAGGTTAGCTGTTGCGGGCTGCATCCTAGTGTGTGTGTGTGTGTGTGTGTGGTGTGTGTGTGTGTGTGTGTGTGTGTGTGTGTGTGTGTGTGTGTGTGTGTGTACTCACCTAGTTGTACTCACCCCGGTGAGTACAACTAGGTGAGCCAGTACAGGGAGTACAGGGAGCCTGCCGGCCGAGCGGAAAGCACACTGGACTTGTGATCCTGTGGTCCCGGGTACAAGAACCGAAATTCTTGTACCCAGTAAGGGTGTCCAACACGTGGAATACACTGAAGGAAGAAGTTGTGGAAGCCACCTCCATCCACAACTTTAAGGCCAGATATTCGACCAATAACCGTAACGTCAGAGTAGTTAACTTGTAACGCAACAGGTACAACAAGGCTAGAAGGCGGGGCACCAGAGCTACACCTCACCGTACAACGTCAGAGTAGGTAACTTGTAACGCAACAGGTACAACAAGGCTAGAAGGCGGGGCACCAGAGCTACACCTCACCGTACACACACACACACACACACACACACACACACACACACACACACACACACACACACACACACACACACACACACACACACAACCCTCTACACCTTCAAGCATTAACGAACTATACTTGTGTGATCTTAACTCATCTCACCCCTCCAGCATCCCTACACCCCCTCCCCCACTCCTCCCATCCCCTTCCCTATACCTACCTATCTTCCCTACCTGCCTCCCTCCATACCTTGCCCACGCACTTTCTCAGAGAACCCCGACTGTCCCAACATAACACATTAAGAAGCGCAAGGAGAGGGAGCAAGGAGGGTGAGGGAGAGAGGAAGGAGGGTGAGAGAGGGAGGAAGGAGGGTGAGAGAGGGAGGAAGGAGGGTGAGAGAGGGAGGAAGGAGGGTGAGAGAGGGAGGAAGGAGGGTGAGGGAGAGAGGAAGGAGGGTGAGGGAGAGAGGAAGGAGGGTGAGAGAGGGAGGAAGGAGGGTAGAGAGAGAGGGAGGAAGGAGGGTGAGAGAGGGAGGAAGGAGGGTGAGAGAGAGAGGAAGGAGGGTGAGAGAGGGAGGAAGGAGGGTGAGAGAGGGAGGAAGGAGGGTGAGAGAGAGAGGAAGGAGGGTGAGAGAGGGAGGAAGGAGGGTGAGAGAGGGAGGAAGGAGGGTGAGAGAGGGAGAGAGGGAGAAGAAAGAAGGAAGTACGTGAAGGAGAGTGACGGGCGATCACTGGAATATTGAATTTTTCTGATTTCAATTTCAAAGAGGAAAAGGTTCGATCAGACCAAAACATCGTTGTACGATATTTGAACAGCGGGAAATTATACCAGACGAGGCTCAGTTTCTCCAACACACACAAGGGGCCCGGTGGCTGAGTGGAGAGCGCTTGGGACTCGTAATCCTATGGCCCGGGGGATCTATCCCCGGCGATGGCAGAAATAAATGTGTTAGTTTCTTTCAACCTGATGCCCCTGTTACCTAGCAGTAAATAGGTACCTGGGAGTTAGACAGCTGCTATGGGCTGTTTCCTGTGTGTGTGAGTGCGTGTGTACTCACCTATTTGTGCTTCCTGGGGTTGAGCTCTGGTTCTTTGTGTGTGTGTGTTGCAATGACGATCCTTACATCTTATAACATAAGTAACGAATTATATATATCTCTCCCTTCTTACTATTCTAAGTGTCTTAGCGTCATGATGTCAACTATTCCACCTGCTAGGAGAATAGTTCCCTCTGTGAGCAGACAAATTAAGCAGTTACTACTAGTTCAATATTAAAATATTAGCTAATTAGACTAAGTTATTACATGCTCTGTTATCAAATTCAATATCTTTGTGAAACAGTGCAATGAATATTGAGAAAGTATTCATATTCAACACACCTCCACTACACATGAGGGGTATAACTAGCCGACCCCTCACGGTGTTCAAGAGAGAACTTGATAAACACTTCCTAAGGATACCTGATCAACCAGCCTGTGATACATACGCCAGGCTGCGAGCAGCCGCGTCCAATCAGCCTGGTTGATCAGTCCAGCAACCAGGAGGCCTGGTCGAGGACCGGGCCGCGGGGACGCTAAGCCCCGAAATCATCATCGCAAGGTAACCCCTCCTGCCCACACACCTGTCTGTGGATACACTCTCACCCCCATTCCTCCTGCCACACCTGTAGGGTAAACCTTCACCCTCCCATCCTTCCTACCACACACTTGCCTGTGGGTACACCCTCCACACACTTGCCTGTGGGTACACCCTCCACACACCTGCCTGTGGGTACACCCTCCACACACCTGCCTGTGGGTACACCCTCCACACACCTGCCTGTGGGTACACCCTCCACACACCTGCCTGTGGGTACACCCTCCACACACCTGCCTGTGGGTACACTCTCACCCCCATTCCGCCTGCCACACCTGTGGGGTAAACCTTCAGCCTCCCATCCTTCCTACCACACACCTGCCTGTAGGTACACCCTCCACACACCTGCCACACACCTACCTGTGGTTACACTGTTGGCAGGCGAAGCACTCCAGGTGGTAAACGTTAGTCTTCGCTCTCATCACCATCTCGAAGGCGGGAATAACCTTGTTACAGGCTGCACAGTGGCCCGTCGTGCCGAACAGTCTGCAGAGAAAGATGCACAGCTGTTTATAAGGCCAGACGCAGGGAAAGTTTGGGGTGAGCAGTGCAAGGGTTATTAATATACTCCGGTGAAGAGGGTCCTGCAATCAGTATATACCAGGGTGATATATATGTATGTATATATCATGTGTCATTAGGAAGGAGAGATGACAGGTGTTGGCAGGTCAACAATACCTGTTATGGAGGTGTTTTCTCACTGTGTGTAGCGGAAGACCTTCTTAGACACAAGGTATAAACACTGACAGGTATTTAATTGACACAAAATACAATTAAGATTCTATGACTCGAGATTAGGGGACTACAGTTTAGAGATACTTTAATTAACTCATTTTGAGACATGCAGTTATTATTTGCTTGAGGATAATTCAGCAATATTTAATGTCTAATTTTGAAGTTTGTTGACCAGACACCTGTTGACCAAACCACACACTAGAAAGTGAAGAGACGACGACGTTTCGG